TGAAGGCGTCCCCTGAAGACGTCCCTGAAGACGTCCCCGAAGACGTCCCCGAAGACGTCCCCTGAAGACGTCCCCGAAGACGTCCCTTGAAGACGTCCCCGAAGACGTCCCCTGAAGACATCCCCGAAGACGTCTCCTGAAGACGTCCCTGAAGACATCCCTGAAGACGTCCCTGAAGACATCCCTGAAGAAGTCCCTGAAGACGTCTCTGAAGACGTCTCTGAAGACGTCCCCTGAAGATGTCCCCTGGCCGTCGGGCTCAGTCACATGTCTCTTCACCGTCTGAATCAAAGAGTTCCTTTGAAGTGGCCGCGGCCGCACTTTTATCAAAACTACCCAGCAGCCCCTGCTCCTGTGATTGAGTTTGAGTTGTTTTTGGACCAAAGGTCAAGAAGGTCAAGAAGGTCAAGAAGGTCAAGAAGTTCTGGAAACAAAAGTCCCAAAACGAACTGGATTAAATTTAAAAAAAAATTAATCACCACAGACCGTGAATCTGTGTGTGTGTGTGTGTGTGTGTGTGCACGGGTTTGTACTTGTGCAGCCGAGCGTGTGTGTGTGTGTGTGTGTGCAGCAGCTGGTCAGTACAGAGAGGGAGGAAATCCTGGTCCTGCCTCAGGAAAAGTCCACTGCAGAACAGGAACGTCCCACACACACACACACACACACACGTGTACGCAGCGTGTGTGTGTGTGTGTGCACGGGATTGTACTTGTGCAGCCGAGCGTGTGTGTGAAACCACTGTGTGTCTGAGGTGAAGTCACATTCCAGACATACCTGTCCGTCCACCAGGGGCAGTCTGCAGCTGCGCGTGTCAGTGTGTGTGTGTGTGTGTGTGGTAGGAGAACGTGTCAAAGGAACTAGGAACCTCCGCAGGTCACGACCCTTCGTGTCATCAAAGTGAATTACAGCAGGAACGGTTCCAACAAAAACAGTTCCAACAGAAACAGTTCCAACAAGAACAGTTCCAACAAAAACAGTTCCAACAAAAACAGTTCCAACAAGAACGGTTCCAACAGAAACAGTTCCAACAGGAACTCACTCCCACAGACAGGATCAGTTTTCCCTAAAATGGAAGAAAATTCCAGACAAATCTTTTCAGCAGCAGGAACCAAAGAACCAGAGAAGTTCTGGTTAGTCTGGTTCTATAATCCACTCAGAGAAACGGTTCTAGTTCAAAGACGTCCACGGGTACTAGAAGAAGAAAGTATTACTATCATCAAAGTTTTTATAAAACTCAGACTAATACCTGATGGTAGTGATGTCATCAGTACTGCAGTACTGTTCATCTGTGTGTGTGTGTGTGTGTGTGTGTGTGTGTGTGTCCAACACATCTGTGTGTATTCAAGCTCTCATGCACAAATACACAAAAGTACACACAGTACTACAGTACTCTTTACCCCAGCACTGAATGTTAGAAACCAGAAATCACTACAAAAACTACAAATACTACAAATACTACAAATACTACAAATACTTCCTGGAATACTTTCACTGACTCTTTAAATCAACTTTTTTATTTTTATTCTTTGTCAAACTTTTTATTTACTACATGAGGAGATTTTTCTGAATATTTTTTTTTTTTTTTGGAAATACCACGCAGTATTCCAGCTAGTATTTAAACAACAAGTTTTTCTCTCCTAGTATTTATCCAGTATTAAATACCTCGACAGAAATACTCCCATCCTGCCTTAAATATCTCCCAGTACTGTAGTACTCTGTCTGTGTTTATATCACATACACAGACACACACATACACGTCGGTCAGTGTTTCCTGGACCGGTTCTTCAGCCTGAACCTGATCCTGGACTGAAACTGGACCCTGGTTCTGATCCTGGACTGAAACTGGACCCTG